TTTCAAGCTCTTTGGATTTCCGAAGTAAAGAAAATTTTGAATGTTTCATTTTTATTCTTTATATCTGTTTTGAGATTTTTTATGTGTGATATCTACATCTGTACTTATAGATAAAAGTTCATTAATTTACTTATTATTATTTTTTAATGCATTTGGTACAGGGTCTTTAGCGTCTTACTACGTAGATCAGATTCATAGTGATTCTCCTGTTTTCAGCCTCCCAAGTGCTGGGATTGCAGGCTCCTGCCGCCACGCCCGGCCTCAATCGCTGACGGCATGCAGGGGATCGAACCCCAGCCACTGCACTCTGCCTAAGCAGGCACTTTGGTGTGCTGAGCTATCTGGTTGACCCATTAGTTTACTTATAATATGATAATACAAACGTGTTTTAATCATAAATTAGTAGAAAAATATTTGCCCCTTTTTTCTGAAAAGCTAAAATACTTAAATGCTGTATCCTTTTTACATAATTTTATAGAAATTAACTTTAAACTAGGCATGTACTTGTAGAGAAAATGTGCATTATATCTTTAAAATATTTCATGAATAAAGAGTAATCATTCTAGGAGCTGGGGAAATGGCTCAGTAGGGCCTGAGTTCAATCCCCAGTTCTGAAAAAAAAAAAAAAAAAAAAGAGTAATCAATATGTTTGTTAAAGCTTTGATACATTTTATTTTGCAAAATCTATCCATTATAACTAAAATTTCACTTAGTAATACATTCACTTTAATTTTCTTTCAGCAGTTGAGATCTATGTGAGTCTAATTATTTTCCCTTTATTTACTATTTTTATTTATTTTCTTTCTTTTTTCTCGCCAATAACTTTCCTGTCCCTTTAAATCATTGATTCTTGATTCTTAATATTTCTTTTTGGTTCATTTATGTTTCATTGATGTCTGTTTATAAGTTGTTATTTTCTTTATTTCATGTGCATTAAATTGTTCTTTTTAAAAAATGAGTGCTTGATTTTAATCTGCATTTTTATTGTCTCTTTTTCATGCATTCATAATTAGAAACTTTCCTTTAATTGTGGTTTTATGGTTTTATGAAGTTCTTTTACTGGTTAACTGATTTGTAATTAATTATAATACATAATGCCTGGGGAATTACTACACATGCATGAAACACCTTAGCACTCTTGTCATTCCCTTCTCCCCTCCTTTCATATATCAGTCTTCTTCCCACATACAAAAGACCTATTTCCCTATTTTTTTTTTAATCAGGAAGAGAAAGAAGTCAAACAAAAATTTAAAATAAGATAATAGGAGGGAAAAGATGGTTAGTACATTGTGTATTGTCATTCCCAGTTACTCAGAGCATAACAAACCAGCATTTAATTGTTCAATTAGCACAAATCATTCCTTCCCTAGTTCTTATTACCTGTGTTTCATTATGCTCTTCATCTATATTTTGTTTTTCTCATAAAGAGGAACTATACAGTGTTTCAGCCTAAGTCTCTGGCTTATTTCATTTAATATTGTTATCTACAGGTCCATCAGTCTTCCAACAAATAATCCAAGTTCATCCACCTTGGTGGCAGAGTTATACTCCATTATCTATAAATGCCACCTTCTCTTGATCCATTCTCTGGGCGATGGACACACAGGCCTCATCCAAAATTTAGCTACTATGAAATATGCTGCTAAAAGCGTGGCATGCACAGATCACTGTAATCTGGTGTTTTACCTCTTCTGGGAAGTTACTGAGAAGGGATCTTCTAGGGACAGCTGGATCAAATGGAATTATTCCTTTCAGTTTTTGTTTTTAATGCATTTAGTACAGGGTCTCACCATGTAGATTGGACTCTAGTGATCCTCCTGTTTTTCAGCCTCCCAAGTGCTGGGATTACAGGGGTGGGCTACCACGCCCAGTCTCATTTGCTGTCTCAGTGTGAATGAGATTTCAAGCTGCTACAAATAGTTAAGCTTCAGCCAATATTACTGGACAACTGAATAGAAAATATCCAAGTAATGCAAATGCTGGGGATCAAGCCTTAGGCCCCTGTGTGTGCCTATGAAGATGCTTTAATCCACTGAGCTACCTGGCTGGCTCTCCTTTTAGTTTTTTGAGGAATCTCCCAACTGACTTCCACTATAATTGTACTAGTCTACATTCCCATTAACACCGTACGGGGTTCCCTTTTTCCCAAAGCCTTACCAAGATTTCTTGTTATGTGATTTTTTGATGGTAATCTTGCTTTCTGGAAAACAACGGAATCACACTGTAAGGTTGCTTTTCCCTATGAGCAAGAGATAGTGAATTTTTTTCATTTATGTGTTGGTCATTTGTAATTCTGAATAGTGTCTGTTTATTTCACTTGTACCCTTTTTGATTGAATTTTGACATGCTATATTTCTATTATTGTATGTACATATTTTATCAATTTGAATTTTGATATCTTCATTGGTCAGGTGTATTCATTTATTTACAGTAGTTCTTTTCCTATGGGATAATTTTTGAATTTGTATTGGTCTATATTTTGACATAATAAAATATAATGAAGCTTATTCTTTGCAAATGCTTAAAACTTGCACTGTGACCCAACATAGCAAATATTCATTAACATTTTCTTCAAATTGAAGAGAAAGTACTACCTGAAATTTATACTTTGTCAATCTGTAAAATTATTTTGTGATTATGATGTTCAATTTTTAATGGCTTACTAAAATTCCATGTGAATATTCTGACAGTTATGGGACAAGTATGTAAAATGCAGTAACCATTTAATAATGGATTTATATATTCCTTTTATGTTATTTTTATTATATGCCTTCAGGAATTGAATAATAAAAGTATATGCTCCATATGTATATAATGTTGTTATTTTTGTGTTCTTCATTACCATCTTGTAGCATGTATTTTAAATGTGATCTCTTTTAAACTCATTTATTTTCTCTTATATTATGCCAATCAGCTATTATTTATAAGATTGCAAATATAATATTCAATTACTATATTTTCATAAATCTGAAGTTTTCATCTGAGTATCATTTTCTCACTATACATATTTATAAAGCACAGCAGGCTTGATTTCAAGCTGCTACAGATAGTCGAGCTTCAGCCAATACTACTCAGAACTGTACAGAAAATACCCAGTAATGCAACTGCCTAGCTGCAAGCTCTCCGCTTTGGTCTGTGTTTGATCCACGAAGGCTTGATGCTCACACTGCTGGAGGAGCTCTCTGAGCTCTCTGAGCCTCTCTGAATTCCACTTGATTTGTGAACTACTTATAAAAGAAAAAAAAAGAATCCATAGAGAAGAAAGTATATCCCCTGGTGGTACTAAAACACACAAGAAATTATGTCAGCATACTGCTATCGATTGCACACCATGCATAACCATGCTGCGTTCATGAGACCATAATTTCCTCACAAGTTGCAAAACGACTGAAGTACTTTTGGATGTTATAATCTTTCTGACTTCCCAGACACTGTAAGAAAGTCTTTCCAACTCAGATAGACTTCTTAGACCATGAGTACCCCCTGGATATATGGGTGCTGAACAGTCTGTAAGGTAACCTCCTAAACTGCATTTTTTTCCTGTAACTCATTCTGCTTAGAGGTTGGTATAAACTCCTTTCCGAAATTAGATACAGGGTCTCACTCTGCAATTCAAACTCATGAGAATCCTCCCGTTTCACACTCCCCAGAGTGTGATTCCAAGGTACAGCTAGGGAAATATGAACGATTTAAGAACAGCATGAAATTTCCATATAACTCTGTTAGACTTCAGTCTATTACATCCAATACATGAGAATATTTTAAACTTCTTTCATCAAAATAAAGTGTTGAGAATAGGGTGTGTGCCACTGTGCCTGGTTTCCGGGCAGCACAGCATACCCAGTTTCTGTGCCCAGCAGGGCATGCAGTGCCCAGGACTGAACCTGGTTCTTGCACCTACATTGCTAAACTGCCTCCCCAGCCTGGCTGGCATAAATTCTGCTATTCCTCTGATCAATGAAACACTGTGTAGACAGAACATTGTGGGCGGTTCCCTATATTACATTGCAAGGTACTATTTTGCTAAGTGATTTACTAGCAAGCCTCTCTTTGCTTGGTGAAGTAGGTAGTTCTGTTCTAAGAGCACATTTAGAAAGGAACTATGCGTGGTAGTTTAGAATGGTGGGCAGTCTTAAGTGGCTAAGAAGAACACTGATAATCTCAGACACATGACTGAGAGGCGCTGAGTGACACAGACAAGCATGGGAACACAACACAGATTCCCACAGCTTGAATAAGAAGAGGGCCATGACAGCTGATCATAGTCATGAGCTTCTACAAAGACCCGGCTAAGCCATGCATATGCGTAGGTGTCTGACTAGAGAAACAATGAAATAAATATGCTTTGTGTTCATTTGAGTGTGCTTGTGCATGTTAGCTTACAGCCCAGAAGGTTAATTCATGTTGCCTTCTATTCCTACTGGTCTAGTGTGCTGCTGCATAATCAGACTTCCTACAGAACTTTTATGCCCTTTCACGTAGGGCTTACAGCACATTGAGGCCCCTGTCCTGAGCTCACGCTGTCCCTTCCCACCTCCACATGCCATGAACATATACACTTCACCTTGTCAACACTAATGTGCTGTGTAGCATCAGTGCCACTCAATCAATATTGAGAGGTCAGTCCCCTAGATACTCCAAAGTACTGTACCAACTCCACTGTCTGGTAAATCTCTAAGCTTTCCTAGGACAAAAAAGTTTATTGTTCCCTCTCACTTAATTCCAAGCTATACCTAAACATCTTAGAGAGTTTTATTCACATGAAGATTGTATCATGCATACACAAGTCCATTGCTTTGAATTATATGTGGGATGCAGAGAAAATTTATATTTTATGATTCTGAAGAAAATCTATTTGGTCCTTAAAGTAAAGCTTTCTAAAATCTTCCCTGAGTACACACATTACACTGGGGGATTTTGGGGATTATACCTCGGTATAATAGAAATAAAGCTGATTATGTTTCTTCTATTCAAAGATTGAAAGGAAACAATTAACTTACCTGGCCAGGCTTAGAATTTTCACAGACAACAACATCATATTCCCTGGCAAGTTCGGGTGGATTGTCATTGACATCCAGAACTCTAATACCCACTGTGACATGGCTCAGCAAACCGGGATTGTCTGCAAAACACACAGGGACATATTTAGCATTTCCACACACACTCACAGGCTTGGTTTGAAACAAATCTTAATACTGTAGCTTGTCACTGGATCCATATGCTGTGGCAAGGCTTTTGGCAAAAGACCACTTCATGAAGGCACCTTTTGCTGGAACTCATTAACTCACAGAAAAATAAAAAATGAACCCTAAGCCCTGACATGAATCCTAAATGATCATTTTTCATACCAGTGAAATTACATGCTATTCAGGAACTGGAGTGGTACAAAAGTTTTCAGAACTCATTGTGTGCTGTGAGAGTCCAAGGGACAGAATAATAGATTTCATCACTAATCTGAGAAGTCCACAGCAGTTATACAAACAATCACATAATCTTTACAAAGTTCAAGGACTCAAATCTGAATAAACTCAGAAACCACCAACTAAAGCACTTTTCACAAGATATCATTTTCTCCTAGTAAGGAAATATATGCAGGGTGCAATTCCAAGGTACAGCTAGGGAAACTTGAATGATTTAGCACAGCATGAAATTTCCATATAACTCTGTTAGACTTCAATCTATTGCATCCAATACATGAGAATATTTTAAATTTCTTTCATCAAAATGCAGTAAGTTTACTGATTAATGATGTAAGAAAAAGCAATTGCTTGGCTTTCTCTTACATTCCAAAGCTGGAGATTCAGAATTCATAACAGGAAATTTGTATCTTTCTTTTACTAAGTCTTTCCATCTCTTTCTTGATCTATTGTACATCTGTCTCTTTTTCTTATTGTTGATACACTTGTCAGTTTCTTCAAAAAGCCAAAATTTAAGTTATGATAAAGTAACACATTGAGAAGTAAAGATAAATTAGTGATATAAAATTCAGAGAGGTTTATCAATGTACAACAGGAGAAGGTAAAAATAACTATGTTACAGGAAAAAGAAATATAAATGTCTATACAGGAGACATTAATAACAGTAAGAAAAATTGCATAGATATAGCCAAAAGAAATTGAAAATTTAATTAGAAATATAAAAAACTTAAGAAAGCCAATTTTAGGAGATAAGTTTCTAAAACTGAGTATTTTTACCTAACGTAATTCCACTATTACGCACATGTTCTTGCAGAAAACAGATAAAGGAGGGAGGAAATGTTTCAAATCTTGTTTTCTGTAATCAGCAGAGGTTTGATTATATTAACATACAATCCTACTGAGAGAAATTAAAGATCAGTGGAATAAGCAAAACAAGAATAAAGTCACTTCCCTCATGTACTGCGAAATCTATTTTGGTGGCATATATTTGAAGAATACTAGTGTATCAACAATGATAGAAGAAAGAAAAATGGAACGGAGACCAGAAAGAGATAGGAGGAGAAACTTTTCTTTTATATATACTTAGGACAGGGCCTACACAGTCTATGGGATCTCACTTTGAAGATTGAATGCTTATTGATTCTCTTGTTTTTAGCCTCCCAAGCACTGGGATTACAGACAGGCGCCACCCCACCCAGTCTCAATCACCCTCTCTGCATGTCCCAGGGGTGGGGTTGGCAGGCAGGTTGGGGATCGAACTCCCAACCACTCACTCTCCCTAAGCAGGCACTTTAGTCCACTGAGCTATCTGGCTGGCCAGGAAGAGAACCTTTTTACTTCAAGAAATTTATCCAAAATCTAGTAAGTTGAAATCATAAAACTGCACACACACACAATAAAAGTAAAAAAAAAAA